CAGACTGCCACAGTTATCTGCCAACCTCACACTCACTTCACCAACTGGGAAGCTCTACTCCTGGCTCACTGCCCCTCCACTCCCACTCCTGTCACCACCTGTCAACAGAATGGACACTATGCAAATAGTATCTCAGCCCATCATGTCCTCAGTATCCTTTAGGGATCCCTCTTCCTGTATTCCTCAGTGACCCAAATTCACAGGCAACTCCTTGACTTTATCAACAGAAATCAAACCTGAGCCAAAGTTCTAAATTCAAACACCCCATGTTCCAACACCCCTTCCCATCCTTCCCATGCACGTGCTTTTGCATCTTCACTGCTAAAAATTCTCTTGTGCACAGACCCTGTCACAATCTCACAACCCCTTTCTGTCCCTTCTTTGTTGAGCTGAGATGGTATGGTCCATGAGTAATCATTCCCTTGCAGCATACCCCTACTTCCCTTGTCCCTCTCTCTTCACCAGACTTGCCTGGCAAACTCCAGCACTAGATGACCCCGAGTATCCACTTCCTCTGAGCACAAACCCAAGGGACAGCATACAGCTAGAGAGAAACCACACGGTCAGACTTCATTTGAATCCAGCATGGCCCAGCAATCTTACTAGACACCATTCTCAACTTTCTAGTAACCATTTCATATTTTGAGCCTTCCAGGTTCCTCCTTTTCAAACCTGATTATTCCGTATCTCATTTCACCGAGACTATAAAATTTCCTCATGTTACTACCACCAAAATGGTAAAACTATGGACATCTCAAACCTTCTTTTCTCCCCCATTACAATGGAGAAGGTGTCCCTTTTCCCACCAAAGCCCTGTCCCTTCACACATACTTGACAACCCATCTCCTCTTATCTATTCAAGAACTTTGCACCTTCGCGTAGATCTCCTTTCCCCTGTATCCTCAAGCGCTCATAAATTGCTGGTGAAATGTGAATTTTTTCAGCTTTTTGGGAGAGTAATGAGCAATACCAGCTACAATTACATAAAATGCATATATATAGCCTTCAACCCAGTAATCCCATCCCTAGAATCTACACAAATAAGTTCACCAGTGTGTAAGGATACACACACACACACACACACACACACACACACTCGCACGAGAGGCGAGGTGGGTGGAGGGAAGAATGTTTATAGTAGCCTTATTTTCAACTGCAAAAATGAAAATAAAGCAAATGCTCGCTGATAATAAAAGGCTGAATAAGCTACAGTAGAATCACACTACGGACCATCACATAGCCCTTGAAAGAATGATTAGATTCTAATAGATCTAGTGTGATTGGTCTAATTCTACTTCCTCACTTGCTTTCTTTCACTCATTCTGTCCCCGCCATAACACTGAATATGCTTTTGCCATGGTAACCATTCCTCTACGTGAGGCCAAATGCATTGTCACTTTTCTGACCATATTAGAACCATTCAAGAGTCGCATATTCCCTTCATTCCTGAAACACCCCTCTCTCAGCTTCCGCTGTACTCTGAGTTTCCTCCTACTGCATTAGCTGCTTTCTCAATTGTCTTTGCAAGCTCTGTCTCTCTTTCTGACTTTTGAATGCTAGCATTCCTCAGGCCTTGGTCCTGAATCCTCTTCTCAAGTGATCCTGTCCATTCTCACGGCCTGAAACACATTTATGTATCAACAAACTTTAAATCTCTACCATAGACCAAACCTCTCCTCTAACCTCCACATATCTACATTTGAGTGCTGAGCTAAAATCTCTTATGTAATTGAATTTTAGCATGTATAAAATAGGAACTCTTAATTCTGCATGTTCTCCCAGCCCCAACCCACACTGAAAATCTGGCCCCCTCTCAGTTTCTTCCCCCTCAGTAAACAGTGTCACCATTTATACAGGCACTAACCAGACACTGAAGTGCTCCCTCTTCCCTGTCCCTCGACCCCTCAGACAATCATCAGCTAAATACATCTTGCTGGGCATCCTCTTTTCTCTACCTCCACCTTAATCTAACTAACTACTAACTGATTTCCCTGCTTCTCTTCTTGCCCTACCTCCATTTGTAACCCATTCTTCACACAAGAGCCATTGTGACTTTTTTAGAACTTAAATCAATTTGTGTCATTCTAGTTCTTCCAATGGCTTCCCACTGCTCTGGAATAAAACATAAACTAATACATGTGTACATGACCTAACTCACACTACTCTCCCCAGCTCACCTCACTGTGGCCATGGAAACCTTCTGTTCCTGCTGTTTCTAGAACACACCAAGCTCCTTCCCATCCTCCCTGAATGAAACACACTTGCCTGGGCTCTTTATATCCTTTCTCCATCTCATTGTTCAGATTTCAGTTTAAAAGGACACCTCCCCTAACAGGCATTTCCTGACCACACTATCTTAAGTAGGTCCTCTCATTCTCAGCCATAACAGCCTTCATTCTGCTTCTGATTATTTTTATGTTTGTTATTCAGCTACTAAGAAATTATTCTACTAGAATTACGATCCATGAGAACCAGGATCTCTTCTTAGCATAGAACACAGAGTCTACACACAGAGGGTCTTCAATGATCCATCACCCCAGGGGACTGGAGGGTGGCAACAACAGAATGATCAGATTTCTCCCATCGCGACATTCTCCTTCAACCTTTCTGTCTCCAGTTGCCACCATCCGTCCTCTTTCTGCTGTCCCAAACCTCTTGAAAAAATTTTCTATTCACGATTATTTTCCAGTTTTATTGAGATATAATTTACATATAACAGTGTACTAGCTTAAGGTGTTTACAACATGATGGGTTTGATATTACTCATGATTATTTTACCTTAGACCATTCAACCCACTTCTCTCTATGCTATGCAACCGTTCTTCCTTCTGATAGAACATTCCTATTGTTAAAGCAAATGGGGATTTTTTTTTTTCTTTACTAACCTCTTTATGACATTAACCCTGTGGGTCACACCTTCATTCTTAAAAAGTTTTCTTTCCTTTTATGACAACTCACCCTCTTGATGTTCCTCTTACCTTCACCATTCCTTCTCAATAACTAAGGCTCTCCCTTTTCTCCTCCTTTCCTAAAATGTTGGTGCTTCTAAGCATTTTAACCCATGAGAACTTTCTCTATATACACACTGAATCAATCATCTCATGCACCCATGTAGTTTCAGTTACTATTGATATGAAAATATCTCCCAAATATTTAGCTCAGATCCTATTCCCATGCTTCAGACCACTTGCCTAAATACCCAGGTGACACCTCTACTTAGATGTCCAACTGGCACCTCAAACTCAGGATGTTTAAACTGAACCCATCACTTCCCTTCACCAAATCTGCCCCTCTGTGTTCTTATCTTCCATCCATCCCATGAGCCCAAGTCAAGAACCTAGTCTTTGATACATTGATGTCTCTCACTCCCACCTCCAACAACACATTTAAAATTAACGAAGGTCAGTATATCCTATCAACTAAATACTTGTTTTTGGTAGGTGATTTACTTTTTTTATTTTTTAAACTAAGCATTTCTTTAAATTGTCCACTGCTCTACATCTCTACTATTTAAATGCAAGCCACTGACATTTCTTGCCTAGAAATCTGCAAAAGTCTTCCAATTTTGTTCTAATCTCCCTCTCTTATTCAATTGTCTTCAGGATCAAATTCAAACTTCTTAACCTGGCTGACAAAGCTCGGAATGACCTGGACCCTGTTTGCCTCTCCAGTCTCATCTCTCACTATTCCTTGTCTCTTCCCCTTTTCGGCTCCAACCATGACAAACTACTGATTTCCCAAGCTCTCTCTTCTTGCACTCCCCACGTGTTATTCCCGAAAGCCCCAAAAAGGCTTTTGCCTTCTATTCCGCATCCCTCCACCAACCCTGATCTTCCAAGACCAGGCTAGGTGATCCTCCTTTGAACTCACTGACTATCCTGTAGCCCCAATTCAGAGAACTGTAATTGCCTATTAACTCATCAGTAATACTACCTACCCATCTCTGAACAACTGAATCAGAATCTCCAGGGTAGGGACCCCAGCATCTGTGTTTTTTAGAGGCTTACATATATTGCTAATGCACAGCCAGGGTTGAGAGTAACTGCTGTACCCTCCCAGAGGACAAGGAGCATGATGTTTTTGGTTGTAACCCAATACCAGCAGAGTGCTGCCGCATCCAAGTTACTCAATAAATAGGTGGCAAAGGAAAGAAGGGAACAGGCAGTGAGTGGAAAGAAGGGAAGGGAAGGGCAGGGAAAGGGAAGGGAGGAGGAGGCAAGGGATGAATTTAAAATAATCCTCAAGAACAGGTTTGAATGTTCTGTCACACATGCATAATAGGACATATGAATCCAATCTTTAAGAATAAAATTTCTCTTCTGCTTTCAGTGTTACTCAGTTTTTCTTTGCTACAGTTAAACTATATTCTCTTTGCATCGACTATAAGTAAAGCATGGCAGCTAAGGTAGGTTAGGCCTAAAAGGTTCAGTACAAATCAGCTTTCACATCTATAATGCTGCATGCTCCGCCTTCTTGACCTTATAAATGCTGGCTAGACAGGCACAATGTGCAGAAAAATGCCAGCCATTTGAGCGCCTGTACTCTCCTCAAAATGCAGAGCGAGAACTGAAATAAAGCAGTGGAGTGGGTTAAACGGTTTTGAACCTTTCTGAGAGAGCAATAATATACAGTGCTTTAGTAGCAAGCATGCATAAAACATAATAAAATGGCACAGAATTAACACTTCTCAAAAGAAAAATCTAATAAAACCCTGTATTTGGGGAAGAGCCATTGCACAAACAGGGCAGGAACATCTTTATATCTCCCTTGTTGCTCTGAGCGCAGCAGCCTCAGTGCCTGGTGTATATTTGTTGAATGAATGCCTGATGAATGATGAATGAATATGGTTCTTAAAGGATTACTCACATTTTCCTCCCCTGATCAAAGAGGCAGCTACTCTTAGCCTCATGTTTCATAAAAAAAAAAAAAAAAAAATTATCAAGTGCCTAAAGCAGCTGGTAATGTGCCAGTACACAGCATTCCAGCAGAACTGCATGCACTTGGCTTTTGCACGTCAGGGCTTATCATACAAATGGGGTTGGCGCCATTGTCTCCCAACACCAGCCCCATCAGCCGAACGTGCACAGCATGCAGTCTGGTGTGCCCCCAGAAGGCCACATTCTTTCAGGACACCATGACTTTTCACATATACTCTTCCCTCTGCCCAAAATAACCTTCCCTCCTGGGAAAATCCAACTCATCCTTGAAGACCTAGATAAACATTATTTTCTTTATGACACATTTTCTGAATTCCCCAGAAATAAATTAATCACTTCCGCCTCTGTGTTCTTCTTCCACAGTATTTTGTAAATACCTTCAGTGTATTTGAATCCCATTTGAATTATGGTGATTAACTACATATTCATTATGCACAATTCAAAGCATGAAGGGAAGCCATCAACTTTTTTCACACAGATCTGGAAAATTTTTACATGGAAGAGTAAAAGATTTGCCTGAATAGATGACAGGAAGGACACAAGGTACGATTTTGGGAAAGACTAAACCTCAGATATGTGCAAGTAGAGGAAAAGTAAATGGAATGGTGGTGTAAGGCTCTCTTCAAAGCTCGGAGTGGGGATACTGAGCTGGATCCACAGAGCAATGAAAAAACTACCACTAAGTTTAAATTGAAGGAAAGGGATGGTATGGTTCACATCACCCGCCTAATCACAGAGTGCCCGTGGAATGTGTGCACACCAAACACCATATGGTGACTATCAGTTAGGTGCCATCAACTGAGATGACCCACATAAAACTCACTCTTCCAATAAACTGTGAGCTGTTGAAGAATAGGGATGTGGGCTCACTGTCTCTGTCTCTCCAGTGCCAAGCAAAAGGTGGGAGTTTGCTTACTGAACTGAAATGAATTCTTCTTTAGAACAACTTTACATAACACGCTCTGCAAAACTGTTACCAGCTTCTATAACAGAGCAGATGTGGGATGTAAACTACATAGCCTGACCCTTTCTTAAAAAACAAAACAAACAAACAAAAATACCAAAACAATCCTTTTAGAGGCGGTAATCAACAGTTCAATAAATTTTAGGAAATACCTTCATTACCCTTAAAGAAGTGAGCTTTTAACTATGAAGGGGTAGATTTTAAATGAACCCAGTTCATTATAAACTGTTCTTTATATTAATGTTTTTTTTGCTATATAAATATGTTTAACTACTATACCGATAGAATTTAAACTAACCACTATACCATATACACATATTTAACTATTACAGTGATAAACTATACTATACTATATCGGTTGAGACTTAAGTATTTCCATGTAGCCTAATGCTAAAGTTTATGATACATGTAATGTGAAGATAACAAGGTTATAAAATATGTCTAATCTAAAAACACCAGAATTGACAAAGATATAACAAAGATCCAGTCAAAAAGCAGTGTTTTTTTGACTGGGTTGGACCATACACTCCAAGTATAAATCCCAAGGAATTCATGGCACCCTACCCTTAACCCAATGCCTAACAACCTTATTAAAGCCCAGGGAACCTTGGGGTTTATTTGGCTTATAGAATTTTTCTTATGAGGTTGATTTATTAAAGGCATGTTTTAAGACGTGCTCCTATTGTGCTTTAAAAGTCTCAGGATGCTTTCAACTGCCCTGATGTAAATGAAAGAGAAAAAATGCTCTGTGGGCTGATATTAAAATCAAATTAAGAGTACTGCTCATGAAAATGAACCGAAGGAATGACTCTGCTTGGAGAGAAGAGACTCATATGAAGACACACACACACATACATGTCTACTTATGGCCATTCTCACAGACTACTATTGACTATAAAACCGTAGTAGATAAGCAGAAGTACAATACTGTCGACTAGACACAGGCAGGTGGTGATTTTGGTTTTGTGGGGAGGAGGCAGGGGAGGGTTGTCCGTAGCACATCAGCGCCACAGCGTGCTCATTCAGATGATATTTTTATTTTCGAAGGCTTAGGAACATATCCCAGGTTCTGAAACACAGTATATGAGCCTTGACTGTAGAAACAAATTGCCAGCTGTCTCATAAAGGACAACCTCATTTAGAAGAAGGCAAATGCCAGCACAGAACAAAAGTAAATAAAGATGGCTACATATGCTCTAGTTTCCGAGCTGGAAAGTGACAGTGGTGAGAGAGGCAGAACAGGGAGACGATGATGAAACGTGAGGAAGAACAGGAAGAACCTACCTGACTATTCAAGCAGTTTAGCAATACAATGGGGCAATCATCCCGTTGAAATTGCTGGTGTGGGGACGCCTGGGTGGCTTAGATGGTTAAGCGTCTGCCTTCCACTCAGGTCATGATCCCAGGGTCCTGGGATTGAACCCCACATCGGGCTCCCTGCTCAGCGGGAAGCCTGCTTCTCCCTCTCCCGCTCCCCCTGCTTGTGTTCCTGCTCTCGCTGTGTCTCTCTCTGTCAAATAAATAAGTAAATAAAATCTTAAAAAAAAAAAAAATCGCCGGTGTGAAGATTCAGATCCTGAGATTTTAAGGCTAAAGAAATCACGGGATCCAACCACGTCACCCCTGCAGCCTGCTACCCTACAAGGCCGCATAAAACTCCAATGAAGAGTGCTCTCTAAGCTGCGGTGCCCATAGAAGCACATGGTAGCGCTCTTGTTCCTAATATGGGTCTATTCTTCTTTTAGTTGTAAATTTATCAAAAGTCTCACTTCCTTCTGCAATTTTTCATTTCTGATACAGAGTTGTAGTTGTTAATATTATTATTATTCTACATTTTACTTCCTTGAGAACCTTTAAAAGGCATGTGCTACCCAAAGGGACTTTCCTGTAGGTGTTAAGCATGAACAGACTACATAGTTTATATGAACATGAAGCATGAACATGATCAGGGACCACCTCATTTCCATCCATTGAATGTCATGTATACCTATCCAAAGTCTCACATGTCCTGGAAGCCCCCATATCTTCACAGAACCAACCACTCATTAAAGGTTACGGCAGAAAGGGAAAAGGGAATGGCTGGCCTTTCGAGACAAAGAAGGAGGGCTTGGTGATGTGCTTTCAGTGAGTGGAATAAAAGAAAAAGGTTTAAAGGGTTAAAGGGAGAGCATGAAGAGAAGCTTAAATGTCTGATTTCACCACCCACCTTAAAAGGGCTACTTCATCCAACTAAACTAAAATAGACCACCACTAGCTATTAGAGAACCACCTAAGAAAGAAAGACTTCCTACAAGTGACCTCTGGTTACCCTTCAACACTGCAGCCCTTCCAAACAAACTGGCACCAGAGCAAACGTAGCCAAGAAGAACCTAACATTTATATTTTATGGTTTCATTTCAATTTTTTGTATAATTTTTAGTAGATCTACTTATGTGGATATAATTTAATTCTAAAGTATTTGGGAAATACATTTAGTCCAGTTGTGCCTGAAAAAAGGAAAGAAAAAGTAATTTTCTAGTTTTACAGATGCTTCCAGAATTCTGTCTGAAGATGGATTAATCTACAGTTACTCAGCTGCAGAATATTACTTCTATTTCACAGACTTTGTATATGAACTATTAAATCCATTAGATCGATAGCAATTCCTCCCACCTACTCTTAAAGAGCTGATTTAATGAGAACATCATTTTCTTATGCAAGGCTTTCTTTCTTAAGGGAACACAATCCTATGTGAACAGAGTCAACATTTCCTCTTACATCATGACAACTTCATATAAACAGAGCCCGTGGCAGGGCAATGAGGCAAAATGTTGGGTGCTAAATGAGCAAATTTGTTTACAAGACACCATTATGGAATCTGAGCTTAAAACGGGACTTACAAACAGAGAAAGATAAGTATCATATGATCTCACTGATATGAGGATTTTGAGAAACAAGACAGAGGATCATAGGGGAAGGGAGGGAAAAATGAAACAAGACGAAACCAGAGAGGGAGAGAAACCATAAGAGACTGTTAATCTCAGGAAACAAACTGAGGGTTGCTGGAGTGGTGGGGGTGGGAGGGATGGGGTGGCTGGGTGATGGACACTGGGGAGGGTATGTGCTATGGTGAGCGCTGTGAATTGTGTAAGACTGATGAATCACAGACCTGTACCCCTGAAACAAATAATACATTATATGTTAATTAAAATTAAAAAAAAACTGGACTTAACTTACAAAGGTTAAGATACAAGAACATCAACATTAACTATTTTCTTTCTCAAAAAACTCTCAAATGACATAGGCACTAAGTGGCATCACAAAATAGAGAAAGGAAGTGTTATTTTCAAACTATTAAGCGTAGAACTGTTCACCATTAAGTATTTCAATATTCTCTCTCTCCACTTCTACAACTAAAAGATAAGAGTGGAAAGAAATTTACCCTTTTGTTTTCTCTGGACCTGCATATTAATAGAGATGACAGGGATATGTCTGTTGTTCTTGGTTTAGACAATATAAGCAGTGGGGACCTCAAGATATAGCCATCAGCTGCTAAGCTCTCTCCCCTTTGAGCCTTTATACATGAAAAGCATAGAATAAATCATAAAATACTACTTAATGCACCAAAAATTAAAAATGGAGACAGAGGGTGGATCAATGTGCATTGTCTCACAAATACAGTTTCAAAGATAATTGGTAATGTTCTCTTTTTCCAAAGAAGTGAGGGTTAAATATAGTCACTCTGCACAGAGACTGATGATCTTCAGGATGTGTAAATTATACATTACAGTTACATAACAGACTAAATCACAGTCATCAACAAAAGAACATTTGGCACAATTCTTGAATTTTTATGATTCTAGCTCATAAGTAGAACTTCAAAAAGGAGAAAATATCTCACCTAAAATCAGCCCTCCAAGAAGCCTCATGCTTCATGGCTGGTAACAAGTGTCTAAGGTGAACAGAAGAGAAAGGCAAACATCTTCACTGGACTAGAAAATGGGGCGGGGGGATGATTTTATTTTCAAGATTATCTTAAACCAAGTAAGTAACAGTCATTCCATGAATTTTTTAAAATAGGAAGAGGGTCCACTCACCAGATACACATAGAACTGTGTTTTAATGCTAATACACCTAATGTGATGTTATATCCCTAGGGTAAGTGTAGACATAAAGCCTGGTGAAAACAACACAAATCCTTTCAGAACACCTTCCAAAATCTGGATAGCACAGATCAAAGGCTGGCAAAGGATTCTCACGCTTTCAATGCGGCGTCCAGGGCTACGTGGCCTCCCAGTGTCCTGCCAGGGCCACCACCCACTGTAGGCAATTCAGAAGGGGTCAAGAGCACTTGGCTAGAGACATGCTGAGAATGTCCAACTGCTCTGCCTTAGTTCCTATGACGACACAGAAGCAGGAAGTCTCCTCGGGCTTATTAGATGCACCCAATTAACATTCATCTCTGACAAGCTCATCCTTTAATCTCCCACACAAAAACAGCTACCATCACTCTGTAATACCTATTAAGCAGACATAGTGATCTGAGTAAAGTACACTAATGGAAAAAAACAAA